CCACATAAACCAAAAATTTACCAATTAGTAAAACTTAGTTATCACTCTCAAATCGTAAGACACACCCTCTTTAGTTCATTTATTTATTTAACCTACCAATCCCAATGCCTACAACCCCTTATGTTTTAAAATTGATTTTGCTAATTAGAACGTTTCATTGATTCATTGACCTCTCTGCTACTGAAGAGATTCAGTGAAAACTCTAACAAAGATCGGTCAGATGAATTTCTGACCAGTTTTACCTGGAGTCTGTCCTTCAGGACTACAGCAGAGTGTCTCTTTGATCTATTCTTTCCATTTCAGCTCAAGCGGCCCTTGCCAGGATTTATTCTTGTGTCATTCTAAGTGCATTTCTTTGCTTGGTTGCTCACTTGGGCCTTTGGTCCTGCCACTTTGTAAAGTTGCTTGGAGACAATTGCCACTGTTATGCGTGCTATAAATAAAGTTAATTAACTTGAATTGAATTTAGATTTTTTTTAAGAGTACAGTGAGTCCTTCCCGTAATCCCCTCTCCCTCTCTCTCTCACTGGATGTTCCTGCCATGTCCGTCTCTTTCCCCAGTCTCCATCTGTTACTTCTCCTCCCACGCTTCCATCCAAGGGATGGATGGATGGATGGATGAATGGATGAATGAAGAGATTGTGAGTGTTTCGATATGTGTGTTGTGTGTAGGAGGAAGGGGCTGATAGGACAGTCATCTGCTGTAACAGTTTGTTACAGACTGGACACCCCTGTGGGAAATGCATAATTTGTACCACCTTGTGTCAGCAGTCTTGAGTAGCTTCAGAGTGGAACAGCTGTAAGAATTAGCGTGTGTGTGTGGTGTGTTTGTTGATTTGTATTAATTAGAGAAGTTACACAGTTCTTAGAGGGTAGAAGAACTTTTAGAGGACAACAGATGCATTAGTTATTTTTTGTTAGCAGTTACAAATATCCCTTGAAGAAAAGTTAACTCATTGATGCATGTGGAGATGACTTCCACAAAATAGACTTTTAATAAAGAAACCAAAGGAAATGAACACTAACAGCAGAACAAACATGGAATGACGTTTATGTCTACCTCATCTACTACGTGTGTTTTCCTGGTTCCCTGGTTATAATTAAAATCTCCTGTGTTGATGTACTCCTGGTCTCCTCGTTCCTCGCTCCGCGGTCCAACACAGTAGCACCGTGACAGAATACCGGACCGTGACAGTAAGCGGTGCCCCTTCTCCCCGTGTTTGTTTTTCGTTTTTGAAAAGTGTTTTGTTTTCCTGTTTGTTTAATAACAAATAACAAAAACAAAAAACAGTATATAGTGTTTATTTGAATTAATATATATATATATATATATAGATATATATATATAATGCTGTTTTAAGATCTATTAATTCAATTTTTGTATAATTTTAATTATTAAAATGGTGTGACTGCTGTTAATGTGTTTAATCAAATGCATTTTAAATTGTAAGAAGCAATACATTTAACTGTTGTTAATGAAGTAATTGGTGTTCACACATGCACAAAGCCCCTCTCAGTAAATAAAGTATTTTACTGATTATTATTTAGGAATTTCACCCAAATGGGACATGCAACAAAAGTACAGTGATTTGCAAGCTGGATTTGAACTTGACAAAAAGAAAGAACAAAAAAAAATAAAGCAGATTGTGAAAACAGATTGTGGTTCTCTTTGGTGTCACCTATAAGCCATCGAAAATCTCTGAAATGTCTGAATTCTGACTATGAGAGAAACATTTGGTTAGGCACATTTGGATAAAAGGCACAAAACTGATCCAAACGGTAATGCAAGACTGTAAAGACTTCCAATGAACTGAGTGAAGAGTCACAACCCCTGAGAATGCCCAGTGTGTGACATTGACACCAAGAACTGTCACGCTCCAAAAACAATGAACAACATTTCAGTGTCTCTCTCTAACACATACTCACTAATCTGCTGGTGATAGATGACACATTGCTATCAACACTGTGTCTGTGAAACAGTGGGGGTCATGGTTAGAGGAGTCACCTTACCCTGTTTCACCGGCCCACACACTGCCATTAAGACATGTTTTCCCTACATGTCCCAAAACCAGTTCAAACTATGGGTGCATTATATGCTAAGCTAATACTGTTGGGACAAATGACAGTAAATGTCCTTGAGCAATGGCAACACCCCTCAGTGGGATAATCGCCAGAGAACATGTGGACGGGCATGTGAGGAGAGGGAATATGAATCCATGGGCAATCACTATAGCAGATCTTCTGAAACAATATGATGACAGAACTTAATTTTTTGGTGAACAATCCCTATAAAGTTAGCCATTGACGGTAGCCATTGACTTCTATTGTGTGGAAAATAATTCTATGGAAGTCAATGGCTACCATCAATTGTTTGGTTACCGACATTCTTAAAAAAATATCTTGTGTTCAACAGAAGAAAGAAACTTATACAGAAGTGGAAAGTGTGTAAATGATGATATAACTTAATTTTTTGGGTGAACTATACCTTTATGTTTCTAATGGTTCTGTATAGGTTTTGACAGGACATCAGACAAACTTTCCCATGGCTGTGTGAGAATGTGAGCTCACCCTACAAAAATCAACCTCCCTTTGGAGTCTCTCTTATTGATTCGCTGCTATCTGATGTGAGAATTGAGCTGGGCTGCCAATCAATGACAGGATCAGAGCAATAATACCAATGAAACATGAGCCACCATCCAGAGAGAGACCACCGCAGAGAAAGCTTATTCCATATCACATACTTATTTATAATCACTAGATATTCGCATTTTATGATCCCTTTCACTGAACATTTACATTGCATTTGACCATACATTAAATCAAAGGACACTTACTGAACGCTATGTCACAAACACGATTCTTGCCCATGCAAAACTTGCTGCATCAGTGCTGGGTGGTCACCAGGGTGTTGCTATGCAGTTGCCAAGGTCTTCTAATAGGTTTTTGTCTAAAATATTTGCTATTGCTAAGTGTTTATCGGGGTATTTTGGGTGGTTGCCAGGGTGTTGCTAAGTGTTCGGGTATTTTGAATTATTTCTAGGGCATTGCTAAGTGTTGAATAGGACGTTCTGTGTGGTTCCTCATGCATTCCTAACTGTTGGTTATGGTATTTTGGGTGGTTGCTAGGCTGTTGCCTAGTGTTAGGGTATTTTTAATGATTGCTGGGACATAGCAAGTGTTTGTTAGGGTATTGTAGAAGGTTGCCAGGGTGTTGTTAAGTGTGTGTGTGGTTGCTGGTTTTTTGCTATAGGGTAATTTAAATGCAAAGTGTTTATTTGGGTATTGTATGTGGTTGCTAGGGTGTTGCTAAGTGTTCAGTTATTTTGAATGATTGCTAGGCCATTGCTAAGTGTTTATTAAGGTATTGTCGGCGGTTGCCAGGGCATTACGTTGGTTAGGGTATGTTGCTAAGTGGTGTTTAGAGATGAGTCACACACTGAAGTTTAATATTTATGGTTAAGGATGTGAATAAACCGCTGACCACAAGTATGTGCACTTATATAGTGTCAGCTGCCTTAGTAAGCACTATGAATTCAGTACCTTGTTTGGGGGTCTGATGTACAATCAGGTACTGCATTGTACAATGGTCAGTGAAATCTCAAACCTCTCATCCATCTTTCAGGCTATGCTGATGCTCTACAACTGAAGATGATCAAAGGAAACCCCTCAGAGATCAGGACTAGCCTGTAATGTTTACAGAAGCCAGAGGAATAATGCATCACTGAGGGCTCATTAGGGTTCAACATGCTCCTGACCCAGATCAAAGAGTCAGCGTGTGGCTGTACTGGGTTGTTTACGATGTTCGGCTCTTTACAGTGGGAATAAGTCGAAGAAGTAGCCTCAAGAGGCATAAACACTCTGGCAGACACTAAAACGCACCTTTTTAATAACGACCAAACTCTTGCTGCAGCTTTTTGTACATCCCAGAATCCTCCTGGGAGTGCGGTCTGTCCCGTAAAGCAGCAAGCGGTAAGCGCTCATTAATTTAAGGCAGGCCTAAGTGCATTAAATAATTCACCTTCTACATTTCCCACTTCACATCCTTCCTTCTCCCTGACTCCTTTTTATTAGGCCAAGTCATTCATTTGCTTTTCAGAGACGGCTGACCTCATCCTTTCTTTCTGTATAATTTTTTTCTGCTTGTGAGCTTTTGGACCTTCATCAATTTTTGAGAGCTTTTTAAAGGTATTCAACCATACTGCAAGTCAGGGAAAGAGTGGGCTCTTCTAACATACATGAGCTGAGGTGAGCAGGGAATGCAAGGAGACGAAGATGACAGGAAAATAAATTAAACAGGGAAAAGTATGGCCGAAACATACTATGAACTCACAAGTTAATGCAAATGCAAGCTCCATTTCATACATAATTGTGCTTTGAAATATTTCAGAGTGCAATTCCTAATGCAGCGGAAGTTTGCATTACATTCTACAAACTGTCACAAATGATGCTATAGCAAAATTAGCACAAATGGTATTTTTATATGGTCAATTTTCTCTTTAAGGTGAGACAATGTTATGACAGATTTAAAGAGAACGGATTTCGCATCGGGTTCAGCTGGCCATGTGAATTTGCCACTGACCAACAGACATATGTTTGGTTTGAAAGTTTTTTTGCACAAAAAATATTTGGCTAATGTGAACGTACCTTCAGTCAGAGTTAGTTAAACAGTTGATATTTTTATATCTACCGGTAGTTACCTGAATAATACATGCAGTAAGCTGGCACAGGCCTGAAAGTATCTGTATCGCCCCCTTGAGGACAGACTGAGGGTTGTACCTTGGATCGACGCCTAAAATGTTCCCACCCACCTAAAATAAGAAATAAAGTGACGTGAAATCCAAAAAAAAGTGTCACAGTTGTGAGAAATAGTCGCAATTAGGAGAAGATTCACAGTTAGCTATATTACTACACACATATATATATATCTATATAGGCTCCATTAGCAATATTAGCTGTCCTCAAAAATGACTTGAAATGTGATGAGGAATTACAAAAAAACATTTTTCACAATCGATCATTTATTGACATCATAAAACAGCATTTCCAGTTTGTGTTTGGCCCTGTGATTTACACTGCCAAGACTTCAAATACACACGTAATCTTCCTCTTTCTCTCTTGTACATGACTGAATTCTCTTTGACCATTATGAAGAGTTTGCATTTCAGAGTTTAACGTGTTCATCTGTAACAGTCACACACCACACACACACGGAATACATGTATGTCCTCACTCGTCTAACATACGGCCCCTGGGACACAGATAAATAAACATCTAACACGTCTCTGATAAATCAACCATATAAATCTTGACCTCTGAATCATGATAAATGTGGAAAAATAAACCAACAAACAAAACAAAATGTCCAAAACTAGATTTATCTTCTCTTTTAATAAGAATCAAGATAAAATATTTGCTTTTAGAATAGTTGTTCTTTTGGCATCCGTTCCATTTGCTCTAGGCCATACATTTGTACATACAGTCTATAAACAATACAGTGTTTGATCAAAGGGGGATGTAATGTTTCTCTAGGAGTCATAACATGGGTGACACACCTGCCCTCAGGAACAACCGCATGGAAACACAACCTTTATTACGTGTGTTTGTGTAACAGGGATCCACTGTAACACTGTGTATTCCATTCAAAATAAACACACGCGCACACGCCACATAGGAAGGGATATCCTGGATATCAGCACATACAAAGGACACACACACTCTGACTGTCCATTAACACACACAGCACATGTACACACACTTTTGACCGTCTCTGAGTCAGACTTATTACTGGTTTATACGACACACAGCTACTAGAATCTCAAGATTGTATGTTTCGGGAAGCACTGTGGTTTGAAGAAACCGCTGCGTCAATCACCTTGTTCACCCTGACAACAGCTTGAAAAGATTTCCCATTGGTCCACTTGTACTGTGGTATGTAACTAACCAAGTAGAGTGTTGGAAGGGGTGGGGTTTTTAGGGTGGGCGGCACCTCTACGATGTACAGAAGCCGGTGGAGATTCTAGCAGACAAAGAAGGAAGGAATAGGAAGGAAAAAAACTATGAGAGTGAAGCAGTGTGGAAAAGGTCACACTGATAGCAGTGTCGAGTTTTTCAGCAGATCCACGTCTGAGAACCGGTAAACAGGTTGGAGGGGGTGGGAAAGGCATTCCAGGACAGAAGAAGAGTTTTTGGGCGTTTATGTGTGTGTTTAAGGGCTGTGGTTCATGCATGACTCTCAGACCGAGGTTGTGCCGGTGGTGAGTGTTCGGAGTGTCTCAGAGGGTGCGGGGAATGATGGTGAAAGGTAAGATGGGACAGCTGGCCTCCAGCTCCAGGGCAGTGAGGAAGCATTCGGTCGCAGCGGCGTCATTGCCTTGCGCTTGCAGCACCTCTCCCAGACTGTTCCACACGTCATGGGCCGTGCTGTTCACCTGCACCGCGTCACGCAAGATCTTCTCCGCAAGACTGTACCTCTGCAGCTGATGCAATATCAGACCCTGCAAAAACACAGACAGAGAGAGACAAATCAAAAGAGAAAAAGGGAAACTATTGTTGGTAAAAAAAACTACAGATGCCAGGAAATTTAGGATATAGTTCTGAATGAATTTTTACTTTCCTATTGATTTAATAATATGCACACATCTTTTAGCCTCAAAACTGAGTCAAGTTCATTAATTAAGGTACAACATGGCCCTTTAAGACATGGTATAATTATATTATATTATATGGTATAATTATAAAAGAATGATCAAAAATATTGATTAGTAACCACTGATCTGTAATAGAGAATTATATAATAGATATATAATATAATAGAGTCATTTATATAGATCAGTGTTAGGTAACACAATTTGTATAGAAAAACTTGATTTATTTTTAATTTTTTTTATACAAATGTACTATAATTAATTATTTATATATTACAACATTTATACTACTTTGTATTAATAATATAATATTATTCATTATAGTTTATGTAATCAGTGGTTTTTGAAAATGGAGATTATTTGAAAAAACATTTTATATATTTTTATATATTATATATTTTTAATAACATCTTATTTTATATATAATATTAGAATATATATGAAGGATCACGTGACACTGAAGGCTAGAGTAACTGGTATTATTGGCTGCTAAAAATGTAGCTTTGCCATCACAGGAATTGTTAAAAAATTATATAAATATATTACAAATATATATTTTTTTTACAGTATTACTGTTTTTATTGTATTAGACAAATACTTAAATGTATTTGTAATTTAATTTAATTAAAAAATTTAATTTAGCTATGATATTATTTTTCAAACAGTTTCTGTACTGCAAAAACTCATTGTTCTTCATATTCGGTTTGTCAAATATGTGTCAAAAGAGACCTCTATATTTCCATAAAACAATTCTATAAAAATACAGTTATCGGTTGCATTTGTTTTGAAAATGTCATATAATCTGGTTTGAATGCACAAAAGTGGTATTTTGAAGGGTTTGTTCACCCAAAAATTAAAATTAGCCTGTGTTTTACTCACCCTCAAAGCATCCTAGCTGTATGTGACTTGCTTCTTTCAGACGAATTCAATCGGAGTTATATTAAAAATTGTGCAGGCCCCTCCAAGCCTTACAATGGGGGTAAGCGGGTGTTTGTTGTCAACAGTTCAGAAGACGTGAAATAAAGTGTGTGCATCCGTAATAAAACGTCCCTCACATGGTTCCGGGGGGTGAATAAAGGCCTCCTGTAGCGAATCCATGCGTTTTTGTAAGATAAATATCCATATTTTAAACGTAATAAACACTTTTCTCTCACTTCCGCTGACTGTCATACACGGAAGATGCTCCGGCAGATGACGTAAGACGTATGCGTCGTGCACGCGCCTCCGAGAAATGCAAAAAAATGTAATTTAGCTATGATATTATTTTTCAAACAGTTTCTGTACTGCAAAAACTCATTGTTCTTCATATTCGGTTTGTCAAATATGTGTCAAAAGAGACCTCTATATTTCCATAAAACAATTCTATAAAAATACAGTCATCGGTTGCATTTGTTTTGACAATGTCATATAATCTGGTTTGAATGCACAAAAGTGGTATTTTGAAGGGTTTGTTCACCCAAAAATGAAAATTAGCCTGTGTTTTACTCACCCTCAAAGCATCCTAGCTGTATGTGACTTGCTTCTTTCAGAACTAAAATGAAGACGGACAGTTTTTGTTTCATCTAGTTGTATTTACTCAGTGCAACTTATAATAGTGAAAGATATAACACCAACATGCTAGAAAAAAACAAACAAACAGAATCACTGATTTATAAAAAGGATCACCCCTCTCCTAAAAATAACCTGTAAACTCAATCAAGTGTAGCTAATCACCTTCTCAATGGTACACAAAGCCATTTGACGTTCAACTGTGATAATTTTGATTAACTCACCATGAAGCTTTCCTGGAGCATTTCAGTCCTTGGTAGTGCAACTGAAGCAAACAATCAACTATGGGTGGCAAGGCACTGTCAAAGAGTGATCATTGTGTGCATGTGACAACAATATCACAAATTCTCCACAAATGTGGCTTGTATGGGATGGTTGCAAAAAAAAGCCACTCCTCAAGAAAGGCCACATGCAGTCACGACTGAGCTTTGTTTCTGAGGCAGATGAGACTAAAATTGTATTATTTGGCCTCAACAGCAAATTATATGTCTGTCCAATACAGCTCACCATCCAAAAACACCATTCCTACAGTAAAGCATGGAGGTGGTAATATTCTGTTATGGGGGTGTTTCTTCTGCAGCAGGACAGGAGCACTTGTCAGGATAGAAGGAAAAATGGATGGGCCAAAACACTGTCAAATTCTTGGTTGTCAATGGGAAGAAGGTTTACCTTCCAACATGGCAATGACCCAAAGCACACAGCAAAACTGAGCACACAGTGGTTAAAGAAGAAAAAGGTGAATGTCCTTGCATGGCCTAGTCAGAGCCCAGACTTAAACCCCATTGAAAATCTGTGGAATGACTTGAAGACGGCAGTCCACAAACGGTCACCATCACATTTAACTGAACTTTAACAGTTCTGCAGAGAAAAGTGGGAAATATTGTCTAGATGTGCAAAGTTAGTAGAGACTAAAGGCTGTAATTAAAGCAAAAGGTGGTTCAACAAAATACTGACACAAGGGGGTGATCCTTTTTCCAACTCAGTGATTCTGGTTTTTTATTTTATTTTCTGAAATGTTGGTGTTATATATTTTACTTGGATGTTATAATTTGTAAATACAGCTGGATAAAACAAAAACCGTCCGTCTTAATTTCAGGCTGCAAAGCAATAAAATGTGATTATTATAATTAATTAATTTGATTATAACCCCCCCCCCCCCATTATTTCGGAGCGCTGCTTTGAAGGGAAGAGGCCACCTCAGACAGTGCCTGCTCCACCCGTGACGCTGCTATGGAGGTGGCGTGGACGGAACCTGCAGTGGAAATAGAGTGCAGTGGAAATAGAAGCCTCTCCACAAACAACCACAACACTCCAGACATTAACAGTCAGGCCCCTCAGTGAAAACTCTGATCTAGAATATTATCAGAATATATCTGTAAATATCAGAATATTGTTTATATACACATGAAGACAAAACAGCTTGATCACAGCTCATCCCTGTTCTCAACAGTGCTATTATTGTTAATTAAAAGTAATATTAAAATCAAAACTATTAAAAATCATTATTTGAATTAAAGCTATAATAAAATTAAATATAAATATTTGATGAAAAATTGTAAAGAATTACTGTTGACTTGGCAACAAAGTAAAATAAAATGCTAAAATGACTAAAACAGAAACCGAAATAAAAATAAATTAAAGCAAAAAAATGTAAACTAATAAAAATATCAAGTACATAACATAATTACAAAAAAAAAACTGAAAATGCAAAAAAGAAAAAAAGAAAAGAAAAAAAACGCTAATTCAAAATATTATTAAACACTTGTTCTTATATATTTAACATATAAGTGTTCAAGTTTGAAAATGTCTTGATTTGAAAATTTCTTGATCTATAACTGTTTTTCTATTCTAATGTTCAAGATTTAAAAATAAATGAACACTAGTCATGTGAGGTAATTTTAGGAAACACAGGGGTGAAGAAACACCATGACAAAGATTCAGAGATCCAACAATCTGCAGTCAACTCTCAGAATTTCCAAAATGTGGACACAATTCAAAACAAGCACACTTGCACACACCACTTAAACACAAACAGCATAAAATTATTAACAGTGAAAAAATGAAGCTCTGCACATTTGCAGCTACTTTCCACAAATTTACCAAATCTTGCATTTTAAAAGTGCTGGCTGTAAAATAGTTTTCTCCTGTCTGCTTGGATTGAAATAGAGTGCTTTCAATTAAATGTATTATTCACCCAAAATTACATTCTGGTTCTCATATACAATCATTTGAAATGTGAAAGTATCATCAAATGATTCACTAAAAAGATCAGACTTAAAAGAACAATTCATTCACAAACTGAATATTCATAATTTTCAGTGAATAACAACTCTATTTAGGTCTGTTCCTCACACATGTATATTGTAAGTAGGGCTGTCAAAATAAATGTTTGCGTTTGCATGATATGTGTGTATATTTATATGTATACCTAAATACACACACATACATGTATAGATTTAAGAAATATTTATATGTATATATCTATTCATATGTATATATGATTTATATTATATATAACTATAAATATATATTACATATATTTCTTAAATATATACATGTATGTGTGTGTGTTTATATATACATACACGCACAGTACACACACATATATAACGTAACCACAAACTTTGGATGCGATAAATCATGATTAATCGATTTGAATCGAAACCCTAATTGTAAGCCATCTGAATACAGTCCTTAAATCAAATATGATATTTTTTATAGATTTTTGCATCAATTTGAAGCTTCAGTGCTACAATTTCCATTCTTTATAACTGCATTCAATGAGCGATTTGTAAAATCTTCATAATTTCTACTTTTGTGTTCCACCATTCAAAACTTTGAGGTCGGTAAATCAAAAATACTGTAAAAACAGTAATATTGTGAAATATTATTACCATATAAAGTAGGTTTTCTATTTGAATACATTTTAAAATGTAATTTATTCCTATGATGACAATGCTGAATTTTCAGCGGCCAGCAGCAAATGACCTTCAGTTCCGGGTGAGCAGTTTTACCAATAAATTACAGATTTGGCCTCGGTTCCTTTTCAATTTGCCAGATTCAGGAGATGAACTGAAGACACCACATTGGTTTCCTGAACTGAAATGAAAAATTGCCCCCTGCAGTTCAGCGATCACAGATTCCCTATTTGTCTAGACGTGCGGCTGCCCAGCAGAGCTGTGGTCAGGGCATCAGTGTGGTCATTAAAGTCTCTGTCGGGGTTCAGAGGAACTTATTAGGATCCTCAAGAGTCTCTATGAGTCACTGGCTGGATTTTATCGACCAAACCAGTGGGACATAAAACACATTCGGACTGAAATCGATCCCTGTACATCTCAGTTTCTTTCTCTTTAGCAATGAGCCTGTTGAGTCAAATCCATAGCTGCTGCTCCTATGTTTAGCATTTCTATGGCGACGGTGGACAAAGTCATGGATCAATGGACCAAACACTGAGAATCTGACCCTATGTGTACTGAGTTTAAAAGGCTTCCAGGGGACCTCTTCATGAACGTCCTATACCACAGCCTTTAAAAACTCACAGAGGCCACAAGAATGAACACATTTAAACTGTGAAACAGAACATTTATGGCTGTTCTAGGTTATACAAATATAACAGTATATAAGTTCATCCAAAAATGAAAATTTGGCCATATTTCTTATTCTCATGTTGTTCCAAACCTTAATGACTCTTGTTCTCATTTTAATCGCACTTTCTGACACAACATGTTGTCAAATGCATTAATATACTACCGTTCAAAAGTTTGGGGGCAGTAAGATTTATGCTCTTTTGAAAGAAATTAACACTTTTACTTTTAAAAGTGAGAATAATTTCAAAATAAATGCTGTTCTTTTAAACGTTTAATTATTACTTTAAATTATATTAATAGTTCACAATATGATTGTTTTTACTGTATTTTGATCAAATGTATGCTGCCTTGTTGTTTCATAAGAGTCTTCTTTAAAAAACATTAAAAAAAATCTTACTGACCCCAAACCTTTGAATGTTAATGAATATATGTACAGTAAATGAAATTTGAAAGCTACGCTGGAGGGGTAACTCAAATTCCATCATGTGACTTCAGGAGACTTTTGAATTAAGCTCAAAAGTCAAACAGATTACTTCTATGGTGCTGTTATAATGGTGCTGTTTTGTAATTTGGGAACTTGACAACATCTGCATTTTCACTGTGTGGAAGAGCAGCTTGGACATTGTGCTCAGTTTCTCAATTTGTGTTTTACACAAAAAACAAAGTCATACAGATTTGTACAACATTTGCAAAAGATCCAAAATTAAGGCTCTATTTTAAAAATTCTTATACTTGACTGTGTTGAAAGCGCATTACAAATTTCTGAAGTAGGTTAACAGCTTCACATCTCTCTTAAGCACATGCATGTACACACGCAAACTCAAACACCCCATGATGCATTAGACCAGGCTGCAGAAAGAGTGTGACCATAGAGCTCCATGCTAGGAGTGGGAAAGCATCATCACACACAATCACACACACATACATAAGAAGAAAATATGTTTGTAAAGAGACAGTACTTTCTTCACAAGAACCTGCTGTAAATATAGAGAAAGTCTTTGGTTTGTAATGCATCCCCCATTTTGGCATTCCTAGAAGCCTGCGATAACCTGTACACAGCATATGTCATTGATTTTTTCTGCAAGCAGGCACATTTAAATTCATAATCATTTAACATTATTAATTTATTTGTAAAATACAGGGGACATAATTTCCCAGTTACTTTCCAGTGAATTAGGCTAAAAGGTTATTTAACTCCTTAATACAATACAATATTTTTAGTGTTCTCTAGCAATTCAAATATGTTTGTAAAGAGACAGTACTTTCTTCACAAGAACCTGCTGTAAATATAGAGAAAGTCTTTGGTTTGTAATGCATCCCCCATTTTGGCATTCCTAGAAGCCTGTGATAACCTGTACACAGCATATGTCATTGATTTTTTCTGCAAGCAGGCACATTTAAATTCATAATCATTTAACATTATTAATTTATTTGTAAAATACAGGGGACATAATTTCCCAGTTACTTTCCAGTGAATTAGGCTAAAAGGTTATTTAACTCCTTAATACAATACAATATTTTTAGTGTTCTCTAGCAATTTGAATCAATTTTTCAAGTCCCCAAAAACAATTAATTCCATTTAAACTCCAAAAGCAGTTTTTAGCTTTGATTTTTACAAGCTATGACTGTTTCCAGATACTGTGTCGTAATTGGCCGTAAATGAGCACCTCTCAGCACGATCATGACACCCGCAATCCCGTCCTCTTAAACGTTTCATCGCTCTGTTAACAGAGCCTGGACTTTAGAAACAGCTGCTAAATGTGAGACACTAAAGAAAATTAGAGCTTGTGATCCATGGTCAAGAGACCTGGGTGCTGTTCCATCAGATACCACACACCCAATTTATATCAAGTGACCTTAATGACAAATCATCAATATTTAAATAACTTTTAAAATAATTACAGTGCTTGACTTCACTCAGGTTTCAAATAAAATGAAACAATAATCTTAAACTGGGATTAAACTGTGGACTGTCAGATGGAATTAAAAGAGCTTAAGTCTAATTTTGGACCAATGGTTAAAAAATTAGAGCACATTTTAGACAAGGTCATTGCTCTCCTGAGGCACCAAATTATTTAGATGAATTTTTAATCACAGAACACTTTTATAGGGCTTTTGTGATAACAAGAGACAGGTAGTGTGTATATTTACATATATAATATACCATTTAAGAGTTTGGGGTCAAGATTTCATTTTATTTTTATTAAAGAAATACATTTTTTGTTCAGCATGGATTCATTAAATTCATCAAACGTGACAAATTAGTGTAAATGGGGGAAAAATGGTAAATCGTTTTTTAATATCTATGCAGGATTAAAGTGTTATTCATGGCTGTAGCATAGACACCGCACAAGCTGTTTCGGAGTATAATAAAGTGCTGTTTATAATACTAACCCTAATAATGATCAAAAGTAATAGAGATACTTGCCATACCATTAATAATAATAACAAGTATAATAATAATAATAACTAAGTGTATCATTAAAACTAAAAGGTCAGAATCCAAACAGAGCTAAAAGTACCCATAAATATTTGGCTTTAAGTAGCAGTATGCGTTAAACCCTGTTTGAAAGGCCTGGAGGAACAATACTGTCTCTTTAATTATTAAGAACTGAGGCCAAATGAGTGCATTTACGTCTCTCTTCAGCACAAAGAGGCCTGGGACACAAAACGCCAGGAGAGGACACAGAATAAGGGGGTAAAACAAAAGGTAAGAGGCAACGCGTCCATTGAACACATTATGCCGGAGTGTGTTGGAGTGTCTTAACAGACAGGTGGTGGGTGCACTCTGCTAAGGGGGAGAAGGCCAGCGAGGCAATGAAGCAGGTGTGTGTGTGTGCGTGTGTGTTTACATGTACAGACATAAACAGCAATCTGACAGCGATTGCCTGAGACAGATGTTTTTACATGATGTAAACAGGGCCAGAGGGAGAATGTATCTTAGATGAAGAGAAAGGTGACAAAACTGCAGTATGAGTGAGTTTGAGTAACACAGGAAATCTGTAGATGAACTCTCTCTCTCTCTCTCTAAAGATACGAGTGTGGATATGATCCCAGGTCTTAAACGGCTGATAGCAAGTGTCACTGCTTCTCTGTCTTTCGTTTCCCCACGAGCCTCTCAGTGGAGATTAAGTGCTTAGCGTCAGTCTCACGGGCCACTGGATCCCTGAACCCACACCATCACATCATCCTGCCAGTGGCATTTACAGTCTTATAACAGCCCCGTACTCAATTAATGGCCTTTTACAGCTGATATAAGCCATAACTTGACACACCATAAAAGTAGAGCGAGCTACATCTAACTCTTGAAACAAAAGTACATGGACTCAATCGCTTATTCACATAATTTGTGCATTTAAGATTTTTTTCTTCACTATACTTCAAACTAGAAAAAAAAGTATAAATATGGCCTGAAAATTGGTGGGAAAATTGCTTCTTGGGCAGGTAAAAATCTCCACATTACAAATCCATTAGTGTCTGAAGGTCTTTAGAGGCCATGGTCTTCAAAATGAGGCCTTAAAACCCAAACAGCTTCAGTGCCAATCCAAACTATAGCAGCAAACAAGTCACCAAACACTTAACCAAATCCCAATTGAATTGGGCTGGTAGGTGGGGTTATGCAGGCAGAGCAGTGCAGTTAGGGGCAGGGGATTGGCTAGTGAGAGGAGACTCATGCCAGGCTATTGGCCGAAAAACACACACAAGGTGCACAGTGAATTACTGGCGGAGGAGAAGCGTCGGCGGGGGGCGTGGTCACAGAAAGCATGGCTGCTGCGCCTCTGGGTGGATTCGGCCTTGGGTGGAGGTGAAGAATAGAAGGATGAAAGAGGAAAAAGAGGAGATACAGGTTCTGACCCCGAGATGGAGGAAGAGGCATGAGAGGCTAGGAATAATAAATGAGAAAGTGAAAAGGATGTGATATTTAAAAAAAATTAAAGATAAATTATTTGGGGAAACACAGAATATTGAGGGAAAAAAAAGAATATTAAAATCAATCATGAATTTGAACTACGTTAAACAATGTTAAAAACAATGCATTTTTAAGTTCTGACCTGTATGTAAATTCTGTAAATTTAAATTAAATTAAAATGACAAAGTAAATAAAAATTTTAATAGATTGACAGGCATTAAAATATGGAAAATGTAAATAAATAAATAATTAATTAAAAAATAAATAAAATAAAATAAAATAAATAACCAGAACTGAACAGCTGGAACAGAAAGATAAGTTTGTAAAGAAAATAATTAAATTAAATTAAACTAAAATTACAAAGTAAATACAATTTTTAATTGATTGACAGCCATAAAAATAATGGAAAATGTAAATAATTAAATTAATAAAAAATTTAATTAAATAAATAAATAACCAGAACTGAACAGAACGGAAAGATAAGGTTGTAAAGAAAATGGGTAACTGCTGAATCACAGAGGCAAGATGACAAGTTTACTGTCTGCATACACAGCACAGAAACCCTCCACCATCACTGCTGTGCAAACACAGCAAATAAACACCTGCACTCATCTCAGCCCTCTTTATCTAATTACTCTACTCGCTGCACAAGATACTGGGAAAATTCATGTAAATTTAGCTGAAACTGAAATGAGTCAAAGCAGTTTTTCACATGAAGTACTGAATAAAGGCCTATTGTTCTTTTAGGAATTAAAGGGGTTAAACCACAAATTTTTCTTGTGTTGAGGAATTATAGCATCCATCCTATTTCCTTCTAATCACCTTACCATGACTTGGCAGGCCAAGTTGCTTCACACTAAACAGTGTTTTGACGTCAGAAACCGTATTTTTTGCAACATAGTTTCAACTAAATGACTTTTTGTACAAAAAAAGTATAGTATCTGAAGTATAAATACAGTATGTTTGCATAGAACTTCAAAAATAAAAACAGAAGAATATTTTCATGATATGACCCTTCTACAAGGATTACAGCTTTAGAAATTCAAAAAATAAAAGTATATTACAAAATGCATTAACCCATCATCTCATTAGGCCATTCGTTCTAAATATAAATCTGTGTTTGAGAGAGAAAGAGAAAGACATATGCAGAAAATACAGATAAAATGACAGCAAAGCTGATGTCTGTTGTCATGGTGATGCAAACTCACCAAAAAGGTATACACAATAACAATAGAGATACAGATATGTGGACATTAATTTGTGTGTGTGCATGTGCGCACTCACCTGTCTCTGGATCACTGAAGTCAGGTAGTGTCATGGCATTCAGCTGGCGACGGTCAGCAACAGCTCTGTCTAACAGACTGCTCCCCCTCCCAGAATCACTTTACACACCGAGAGAGGACGAGAAGCAAGAGGCAATTAAGACGATAAAATTAGAGAACGAGTCAAGCACTCAGACAGGAGACAGAGGATATCACGATACTTGCACATCAATACACACAGAATGATGAAACCCTCAGAAATTTCACTCAGCATCTCATGGCACAGTGCTTCTGCACACACAACCACAATGCTTCTGCAACACTATTCATCTTAAAAGGAGTATAAAAAGGGTGGTTGTCAGGACATTGTGGTTACTTGCATATTGAGAATGGCTGCTGGAGTGGTTGCTCATTGGTCCAAATCAAAAAGAGCCCAAACCCAAGTCTTGATGAAATGATTTACAGATATGTCTCGGATCGAGCTATTAATGTAAGTGTAACGAAATTTCACCCATTTTATTGTTAACCAGGCAAAAAAAATAAATAAATCATGAATCCGATCACTTAGTAAAAGAACCATGCATCTGTGGAGACTGTGGAGTTCACTCAGGGCCAGAAGGCTGCTTGGTTTGACTACTGTGTGAGCTGTGCTTCATACATTGCTAAAAAAAGACATTGACAAAAGGCATTTTTTTTGCTCACAAAATTATACAGAAATTTCACTAATGCACGATTTCTCCCATTCATATTTCTAGATGTGGTTTGTCTCTGTGTCCTCATACTGTCTCTGGAATGCGCACAAAAACATCTGACCGTGTTGCAACTGTTTAGGGTTCGAGGACGACTTTGGTGGGGTTTAGGGAGGATGAGCACAAGTGGTCCTCTGACAAAGTAGCGCTACCCAGGGTTTGGATGGAGGGACTCTGAATATGTGGCATAGTTTGGTTACAGTGTCCAGGCACTAACTGGTCTCTGGCGGATTGTCACCAGGTACTGAGTTCAGGACAGTTTGACAGGAAAAGCTGGAGTATTCTGGCAGTGGGGGGCGGGTATTTCAGCCATTAGAATGAGAGAAAGCAGGACTGAATCATAGTATGCAGCAGTGGTATGAGCTGTGCTTTTATTTATTTTTAATGAAAGTGTGGTGAGCTCCTTACAGTCAGAGAGACATGCTGTGCTGTCTTATGTGTGATGGTGAGTGCCGACACTTGAGCTTCTAGCATTCATGTGTCAACAGCTGGAGTGTGTGTGTACCTGGGGTTGGTGAGGTTGTAACAGGACTTCCAAATCTGCAGCATGCGTTTGCAGGAGAGTAATGCATCCTCTGGACCTCGACACAACGTCTCCAACTTCACCTTTGTGAATAATAGACTACACAGACAAAAAAAAGTGTTTATTATCACTCTCCGTCCATCTGAATGTCTAATTAAGTATTTAATAAACAAAGAAAAGCGTTTATTGAACACAGATAAAGATAAATCAGTCTTAATCTCTTCTGCACGACATTTTAAATACAAAACTTTAAACCAAAGTCAAGTTGATTCGTCCCTTTGTGCTGGGATAACTTCAAATAAATCAACAGAGCATATCAATAGATTTCTCTCTATGGTACAATAAACTGAACAATGAGAGAAAAATAAACGTCCATGAATACTGTACAGGTATATTGCATGTTGTTTGGTCTATTGTGAATGTATGATGTATTGTATATTGTGTATATGTGTTATGTATTCATGTACATTATGAATACATAACACATATTGAATGTTGTGTTGTATATTGTGCATATGTGTTGTGAAATGTATCAATTCTGGTCGATACTGATAAGCCAATAATAATTCTTATGTTATGACCATTAACCCATAAATTGCTGATTTTACTTGTCTAAATACATTAAAAATTAAACACTAAAAATTTAAATCAACCATTTAAACGCTGCCAGCTACCTTTGTTTGGGGTCAGGAAGTTTATCCCATTCTATTAACCAATGTTTTTGCTTCTGACCTTCGATGATCCAGTTCAACCGTACTAATGAGCAAAAATTACTCAAGACAAACATTTGTGTGTCTTTTTTTATTTTTTATTGCTGAAGTGTGTTGAAATGTCTTCTTCTGCATTCTACTGTGCGGACGTAAATTTACATTTCCTTCAGCCTGAGGCTTATTCATTTCACTTTTGGTGTGAAACGGCTTTTATATTTATATTAACACAAAAGTAACGTAACACATTACTTTCCATAAAAAGTAACTAAGCAACGTAATTAGTTACTTTTTATGGAGTAACGCAATATTGTAATGCATTTTAAAAGTAACTTTCCCCAACACTGAAAGTGACAGTAAAGACATTTATAATGTTATAAAAGATTTCTATTTCAAATATGTACTGGTATTTTGAACTTTCTATTCATCAAAGAATCCTAAAAAAATGTATCACCGTTTCCACACAAAATGTTTAGCAGCACAATGTTTCTTGAGAAGCAAATCAGCATATTAGAATGATTTCTGAAGGATCATATGACACTGTAGACTGGAGTAATGGCCATGGAAAATTCAGCTTTGCCATCAGGAATAAAACAATTTTTTTGAAACACATAAAAATAGAAAACAGTAAAAATATTTCACAATATTACTGTTTTAACGGCATTTTAACTGTAACTTTAACTTCAAATGAGCATAGAATGACAACAAATGTAATATAAATATAAATAGGAAAATAATTAAATATCAAATATTAACCAATGTATGTACAATAATCCAAATTATGTTTTTTGTTATATTGAGTGTTGTTTTGTATATTGTGCATATGTGGATGAATGTTTGTTGAGTATTGTATCTTGTCTAGTGTTGTTAATCTCTGCTAATGAGATGCACAGAATCCCCTAATAACACCTGTATTTCACACACATTTCTGCAGACAGCAGATCTGCTCGAGCTGAGTGAAAGTCCCACCATCAAGAGTGCAGATGGGCATTTCTATAATCAGATATGGCAGCATGTGAAGAGATCCAGCAGGGGTGTGTGTGTGTTTATGTGTGAAGCAGATACCATATATAGAGTCTGCTCTTTAACAGCTCGCTGTCGTTGCAGCTGCTCGACTCTGAGCTGAACAGAGATTGGTTAGAGCTTTAATCACGCGCTGCATTCTCTGTAGGCCATGCTGGTCCGAGTTCAGCCAATTCAGAGAGCTGATGGCACATTCTCATTAGCCGTGCTTTCATCTCTGCTGTAGTTGCACACTACGCCGCTAGGACGCCTACACAATCACTGATTTAATCCTGTCGTGTGAGTGTGGAATAAGGAGGGCTGGGTGTTCTGGTGCATTTCCTTTCAAGGCAATGAAGCAAAATGCATGGAAATACACACACAAACTGGACAAACGCACATATGCACAATACCAAAACCCTGAGGGGAAAAACAGGGTGAAAAAGAGGGCCATAGGATTGGAGGAAAAAGAAAGCTGTAGTACGCAAAAAGCACACAGCTTCACACACACACTAATACAGAGATGGAGGGGACTCTGATCAAATTGAATGAGAAGGGAATTTGCGTGGGGACTGCCCAGTGCTTCATACATCCAGCACACACACACGCATACTTTGTCTAACTAACTCGTCTAATTGAAGATGCCAGCAGCAGATATGTACCCATCTATCCCAGCTGCTACAGCAAACATAAACATTCTCTATTTTTTTCTATCATGTAAGTGGCTGAAGCACACAGCTTCACACACACACTAATACAGAGATGGAGGGGACTCTGATCAAATTGAATGAGAAGGGAATTTGCGTGGGGACTGCCCAGTGCTTCATACATCCAGCACACACACACGCATACTTTGTCTAACTAACTCGTCTAATTGAAGATGCCAGCAGCAGATATGTACCCATCTATCCCAGCTGCTACAGCAAACATAAACATTCTCATTAGAGTGGGCACTGTGGCATGCCTCTAAATGTCTAAACACTGCCTGCCACTGTTTGTGTGTGTGCGTGTGTACGTGTGTGTGAATGCTGTGCAAAAGAATAGGCTCCTTGTCATTCGCATTTCATCAGTGTGTGTGTGTGAGAGAGAGAGAGAGAAAGAGAGAGAGATTTAGTTAGTTAAATTTAGGACAGTCTGAAAATCACCTCTGGAAAGCGCTCAGCGCTTTTTTCTGATACTCTTCCTGCATTCCTCGAAGAGATGCTGTTAAGACGACAGAAATGTGAGAAGATGGTAAGGACAAGATAAAGCAAGAAACAATCTGTAAGGTTTCAGATACCTTAATGTTAAGAGAAAGAATATCACAGGATTATAGTGTGTGTAACAGAGGGAAGACATAATGTATAGAGCATTACAGAGTGATTATTAAATTATGTAACGGTCATTACAAAGTGTGTTATATAAGAAAAGAGAGAGGTTATAAAGTATCAGTGGATTATAGAAGGGTATAGATCGTGTTATAGAATGCAGAGAAAATGTATAAAGCATTATGAAGGCATTACAGAGAAATACAGAGCATGTTTAAAATGTGTTATATAAGAGTAGAGAAAGGGAAACGTACAAATCGTTTAAACGGTACAGAATAGTGATTCTCAACCAGGGCCAAAAACTTCCAAGTGGGCCATAGGATGATAATGAAAATGATTTAATTATATTAAAATATATATATTTTTAAATATATTCAAACTTAATAAAAATAATATTTCCCCCCCCTTAATAACTATTATTTTCATTGAAAATCATGCAGAATCAGAATCTTGATTATTACAAAATCTCAAAATGAATTGTGTTCAATGAATATATCAACACTCCCAGTTTCTGTTAATAACAATGTATGACAACAATGTAAGTGTTGCCACAATTACAGCAGAAATACCAGAGGTATTCTTAGCCAATATGGGGGGGCCTTTGAATTACACAGGTTGAGAACCACCAGCATTATAAAAGATTATAGAAAGTGTATTGTTTTATATAAGTATTATATAAGTATCACATATATGTGTTATGTATTCATGTTATATTGAATATTGTGTTGTATATTGTGCATATGTGTTGTGAAATGTATCAATTCTGGTCAATACTGATAAGCCAATAATTATTTTTATGTTATGACCATTAACCCATAAATTGCTGATTTTACTTGTCTAAATACATAAAAAATAAAACACTAAAAATTTAAATCAACCATTTAAATGTTGCCAGCCACCTTTGTTTGGGGTCAGGAAGTTTTTTTTTTTTTTTTAAGAAATACTTTTATTCAGCAAGGATGCATTGAATTGATCAAAAGTGACCAGTGTTGGGGGGTAACGCATTACAAGTAACGCGAGTTACGTAATCAGATTACTTTTTTCAAGTAACTATTAAAGTAACGCATTACTTTTTAATTTACAAGAGAATATCTGAGTTACTTTTTAAATAAGTACTTTTTTTTCCAATTTATTGATTGACAGCTCTCTTGTCCCAATGTTGAGAGAAATCAGAAGATGTTACTGTAGTTCTAAAATAAATATGAATTAATTCATCTCACTCACAAAAAAAACAACAACACAGATTCAGTATTCCTCAAAATGAATTAAATAATGCAACTCAGAATATGATGCAAACCTGCAATAATTAAATGTTAAACAACACAAATATCCTTTATGTATTTTATCCCATTCTATTAACCAATGTTTTTGGTTTATAGAAAGTGTATTGTTTTATATAATTATTATAGAGTGGATCAAAGTGCATTATATAAGGAAGAGAAAAAAACTGCATAGTATAAAAGACTACTGGGAGGGTATATAGTATTTTAGATGGTAGAGAAAGAGTTTACAGTAATATAAAGAAATTAAGGAGACAATATAGAGTGTTATAGAGAGGTACAGAGTGAATTATAGAGGACAAAACAAGGTATAAAATATTATAAATGGATTATAGGGAAAATGTGTGTGTGTGTTAAAGAGGATACAGTAAAGATTACAGTCTTATAAGGGTATAGAATTGGTATATACAGTGCATTCTACTGCAGGTATGCTTACCATCTGTGGCTTTCAGGCTGTAGACGAGACCAATAGCTAGATAGCCTTTGGCCCTGAATTCAGCCGCCTTCTCACCCATATCAATCACTATTTTAGCAAAGCGCTCACCTTCTTCCAGCTAAAAAAAACACAAATACACACCCCATGTCATCACCATCTCACTGTTCGTGGACGGTCTAACAGTAAAGGATTTACAGAGTCATAAACAGGTCAGGGTCAGCTCTCCGGTTGAGCCTGTGCGTATTTCCCATGATTCCTCTTTTATTACCCAGTGCAGATTTCCAATACACAGCTTGACGGCCAGCAGAGGAATGGTGGGATTGTCCGGCTTCAGTCTTATACACTCCTTCAGCACCTTCACTGCTCGAGCCGACTACACACACACACAACAAGATTAGACTCAGAGTAATTTCTAGCAGAATATATATATATATATATATATATATATATATATATATACACAGAGGTGTGAAAAACTTTTTTCCCTTAATAAATGAAATCATCATTTAAAAACCGCATTTTGTATTTACTTGCATTATCTTTGTGTAATATTTAAATTTGTTTGTATTTACTTGCATTATCTTTGTGTAATATTTAAATTTGTTTGTATTTACTTGCATTATCTTTGTGTAATATTTAAATTTGTTTGTATTTACTTGCATTATCTTTGTGTAATATTTAAATTTGTTTGATGATCTGAAACATTAAAGTGTGACAGACATGCAAAAAAATAAGAAATCAGGAAGGGAGCCAACACTTTTTCACACCAATGTATATACTGCATATATATACTGTATATATATATATATGTATGATCAAAAGTGACAGTAAAGACTGAAAATTCTGCCTTTCATCACAGGATTAAATTACATTTCTTAAAATATATTAAAAGTACAAACCAGTTATTTTTAATTGTAATAATATTTTGGTATATTAGTTTTTACTGTATTTTTGATCAGACAAATGTAGCCTTGGTGAGCATAAGAAACTCTTTTCAAAATCTTCAGACATTTTTACTGACATATTACTTATATAAAAAATAAAAGAATATAATTGAGTATTAAATATATAAGATATAATATAATATAAGATATATTATATAAAATAAATGACATAAAAAGGACTTTAACATGATTAATTTTCCTTTCACTGAAATCATAACTTTAAAATTGCCTGATATGTCTAGGTTTTCAATGACTATGGGAACTCTGAGGAACATTGAACGCAGAAAATGGAACACTAACCTTCCCAGCAGCCATTAGGGAGAGAGCAAGCTGGAACCAGAGATGAAACTCCTCAAAGGCAAACTTCATGGCTCTTTCGAGACACTGTGGAGAAGAGACATTAAGATAACCACAGATAAAAGTTGAGAACAATAATTATGACCCCCAACAGATACATGCACAAAGGTCAAACACAGAGCCAGGCAATGTCTCCTGCTAAAGATTACCCAGCGTGCCACAGGCTTTCAGTGTGTCTCTGAGGCTTTACAGTTAATCACACCAGCAGATTAGCAGAGAGCAATTCATTGAACAATAGATCTACATGACAAACAGCTACACAAACCACACACACACACGACACTGCAGAGGTCACACACAATAAATATGGCAGACTCCCAGGACCCTGTGATTGCCATAAAACCATAAAATCCTTGAATATAAAAGACACAGCAAAAGTTATGCTGAGTCCAACATTAGCAACAACAGCATGATCAACAGATGGAGATGGAAGAGAAAAATCTGTCCAGGTACACTAATGAAAACATCAGACTACAAACCACACACACACAAAAAATGCTTTTCTTTGCCTAAATAGGTCAGGCTTCCGAAAACAAACACTGAGGCTTGTCCGTGGCTAAAATAAAATATTAAGTAGAAAGTTATTAACAATGCTGTTTAATTTGGACACATTTGTGACATGTAGATTTGTGCTCTAATATTGAATCTGGGTTAGTTCTGAATACAAAAAAAGCTATGTAATATAACATAATAACATGAAATCGTTTATTATAAATAATTGAAGCAGTATTCTGGTTTGTTACATGCCCCCAAACTCACATGCACACTGTGAATAACCTCCAGACCAGACACAGACACATACATTCACACAGGCCTGTTCTGTCCTAAATAGGTCAGGCTTCCGAAAACAAACACTGAGGCTTGTCCGTGGCTAAAATAAAATATTAAGTAGAAAGTTATTAACAATGATGTTTAATTTGGACACATTTGTGACATGTAGATTTGTGCTCTAATATTGAATCTGGGTTAGTTCTGAATACAAAAAAAGCTATGTAATATAACATAATAACATGAAATCGTTTATTATAAATAATTGAAGCAGTATTCTGGTTTGTTACATGCCCCCAAACTCACATGCACACTGTGAATAACCTCCAGACCAGACACAGACACATACATTCACACAGAGGGAGCGCAGTCTAGAGTGCAGGTCTGGTCTTGTTACCACAGCAACCACACCGGGAGGTTTAACTCGTCCCGCTGAGGGAGTATTCCTGAATGTTCCCATGGTGATGAGCGTGGGCAGGACCTCACCTCTGAGAGCATCTCATACTGTCCGCGTCGGCCGAGCGCGATGGTCAGCAGGTCGTACACCAGTGAGGCGCTCTGGAGGCTGATGATCCGGTCATTATTGTGTTCGGGGATTCGACTCAATACGGCATCTCTGTTAGCCTATGATAAATACAGATATTAATACACACATTCCCCCAAACAGACATGATTACACTACACTCCCTGTGATGGCAAAGCTGAATTTTCAGTAGCCATTACTCCAGTCTTGGTTACATGATCCTTCAGAAATCATTCTAATATGCTGATTTGATGCTCAAGAAAAAGTCTCTTATTATTATCAAAGACGAAAACAACTAAATTTGTCTTTTTATTTTTTAGTGGACAGTTATACATTTTTTTACAGGATTCTCTGATGATTAGAAAGTTCAAACAGCATTTCTTTAAAATATAAATCTTTTGTAACATTATACATATCTTTACTGTCACTTTTGACTAATTTAATGTGTCCTTGATCAATAAAATTTATTTTAAAAAATTGAACAGAAGTGTAGTATACTTGGGCTACCAATAACAGAGACTATTATTAACATTAGACAGCTTCATTTTAGGTCAGTTTGCAGCAGTAACACCTTATTTCTATGAAATAAAACACTGTTTAATCACACTGTGCATAAGTAAAAACTCATTATGACTGAACATAACTCACTCGCAGAGCTGTTGAACGGTCAATTTAAAGAAAACTGAAGAAAAAAGTCACATGAGCAAGAGATCTAATGAGACTTTCTGCTGAGTTCAAGCTAAAGGCATCTCTGATTCTCCAGCTCTGCTTTCAGTACCATTATGATTGGCCTTTCATACCGAAAAACCTGCAGTGTCAGACCATGCTGACTTCATTTACATGTTCTCCTGAGCCAATGGTTAAACCACAGCAGTTCAGAGGGTCACAGAATCTCTACTGCTACTCACCATGGATTCGCTGATTAACAACAGGAGCAAGGCCTCCTCTGTGTTCTCCTGTGGACAAAACAAACTAGAGAGAGAGAGACAGATAGAAAGGCCATCATGAATTTTTCCATCCATGACATTATGAATACAGTGACAAGAAACAAACTTCCAGGATTCTGATCAATTAATTCCAACACCTTTTTTTTATTTTCATGCTACATCATAAAAATAAACAAACAATATACACAGAAACAGCTTTGCCAGCAGAAAATATTCCAGTGTTTCTGCAGGATTACGTATATACTTTTATAGTATTTATTATTATTTTGAATTTGGTGTCCTACTTTTCTCCTGAGTAGATGCGTGGGCGGCGGCTGAGAGCGTAGTCCTTAGTGTGGAGAGGGTGTCTGAGCAGGTCGTCCAGGGGGGAGTGGTGAGGGGGGTCTTCTAGTGGATTCCAGTAACTCTGTTCACACATGCCCCTCAGCAGGATCTCTGCAAGCTGCCTGGCGATAGTCTAAACCCATACAGTATATCTTCAGATTCTAGATCTGTGGTTCTCAACCAGGGGCCGGGGCCCAATAGGGGGCCTCAGCAATCTTCCAAGGGGCCTCAATATTACATAAAATCATTTAAAGTAAGCTAAAACAACAACAAAAAAGATGCAAACTTACATAAAATTTCTTATGTTAATTTGTTCCCTCAATGCCTGTCATTTTTATTTAAGAACCAGGATTATAGTCTTGGAAAACCTCAATATTGTGGGAATTTTAAAAGTGTTATTTCTAGAGTTGGAAAATTCATGGAAAATACTAAAATTTATAATAATAAAATGTAATGGAAATAAATTATATATATATATATATATATACTGTATATATAAACCATAGCAGAAGTACTGTACCAGAAATCTACATGGAGGGCCTTCAAAAAAGGTTGAGAACCACTGTTCTAGACAGAGACAATGAGACAAAGCCATAAACACACAACTCACCATACGCAGGTTCTGAGTAGTTCTGGTCTCTACGGCTCGGAGAATCTCTCGGAAGCGGCTGACACCACGGGTCAGGTTACTGCAGCACCAGGAAATGGAGAGAAAAGAGATCCATTAATCACCTCTAGAGAGCTGGAAAAAAAAACTGATGGCTGACATCAACAAATTTCTCATCAACTCTGTACAAACTTTCTTACACAAACAGATGGAAACACACGCACACACCCTCAGGAGTGGTCAGACCTCTGCCACGATTTAGTGAGCTCTAGCATCAAGCAGTCAAACTAAAGTAGTTACTTATCAGTGGACAGGAAGTTATCGGGCCTGTAGGGCACATTATTACAGGAGTTCTGGATACAGTGCTGTGCAAGTCACAATTAGCACCTATTTAAACGCTGTACAACCTGTGAATGTGTGTGTTAGCGCCTGTCAATGACTGGGGTCAATATCCTCATCAGACTGCAATATATTCCCTCAGCCTCTTTACAAACTGACAGCACACGAAAACACACACACACACACACACCATGAATGAACATGTGTAAAAGACCAGAGAATATAGCCTCAGGCTGTGGAGGTGTGAAGTGTTGCAGAGATGCACGTGAATGCAGGGAGAAGCAGTACAGTAGTTGTGTTGAGAGAGACAGAAGTGTAGAAGTATAGGTATGAGAGCGAGCAGGACAGAGAGAAACAGAGCTAATAAACAAAATGGTCAATTCAAGCATCAGTTCAAACAGTCACATGGATTTATACGATTTTAAACCTATAAGTGTCTATCGTTTGCAAATGCTGTTTGCAAACGATAGACCGTTTCATTGTTCACAACTGTGTTCCATTAAACAAAGATAAAGTGTGGAATTTCTTTCATCAAACACAAAATTTAAATTAATATCTAAAATCTAAAATTTTTACATTTAGATTACCTTCACTGTTATCTAACACTCACTTAAAATTAATCTTTAAAACACTAATAATTTTATAACAATGCTTATTGTAATCTTTAGCAAATCTCAAAATGAATATCTATTTTTCATCAGTATATAATAATGTTGTGAGGCCTAAATTAACTTTTTTAGTTTATAGTGATTTAAAAAAAAAATTAATTATTTAGACAAAAGTATTGACTTTTACTCTACAGTACAGAGTTTTTATAATCACACAGGCTGAGGACGGAACATTTGTTATCCTGTAGGAAATGCATGTTGCGTGTGGTTTAAAGACATTGCTTTCAATCATTTATGAGCCTAACAGATTCATTACCCACAATGCACCACTGCAGCGGTCATATTTCACACAGATGCATTTCACGCACTGACAGATGCCCCACCTGCAATCCATATGGAAGATCCCTCCCCAACCACACCCTCACTGCACAACTAAATAATGATGGAGATTCTCATACTGCCATGTGTAAGGCCACCACACATTTCACGCTAGTACTGCAAATCACAAAAAAAAAGGGGTGCTTAGAAGGGTGCTCGCGAGTGCCCTCGATGCGCACTGAGGCGAGCTCCATAGCAGACTTCTACCCGACAGTCAAATTGGCATTACGTTACGAAGTGTGGACTCAGAGGAAGACCGCAAGGGTTTAGGGTTCGATTTGGGACAGGGCCTTACTCCTCTACAAGGACCTTATTTCTCTACAATCAGCAGGTCAAATTCAGATTACAGCTGACAAGAGATTTGTCCAGCTATGAGATTCCCGAAAAATTTATAAATTGATAAGATGTGTACCTTAAGCTGCTTTGGATACAGTTGGCAGTGCACTGGCAGCGTCTGGCAAAAGTGTCTTCTACAGTTACACTACCTTTTAAAATTTTGGTTTAAGCAATATTTTTTTGTGTTTTTGAAATAAGTTATAAGTCCCTTATGCTCACTAAGGCTGCATTTATTTGATAAAAAATACAGTAAAAACAGTCATTCTGTCCAATATTATTACAGTGTAAAATTCTACTTTTAAAATGTAATTTATACATGTGATAGCAAAGCTGAATTTTTTTCAGCGGCCATCACTCCAGTCTTCAGTGTCACATGATCCTTCAGAAATCATGCCGAAATATAATGGTTTGGTGTTCATGAATCAGTTCTTATTATCTTTTATAATGTTGAAAACAGTTGTGCTGCTTAATATTTTTGTAGAAACTATGATAATTTTTTTTTCAGGGTTCTTTGATGAAAAGAATGTCCAAAAGAACAGTAATTTCAGTATAATTAACAGATTTATTTAGACTAATTTATTGATACTTTTTGGCTTTAAATTAATTTTTAAAAGTAAATCATTCTGGATTTTTCTTATCCATGAAGGTACCAAAACACAAAAAAAACGGAATGCAGCGTATTCATGCAAGCTTCATGTTGAGAGCATGCCCTGATGCTTTAAAGGCTGCTTATGTAGGCAGTTAACTAGGTATTGGCTTTTGTGTGAAGCTGCTACAATATAAGCTTGGCACTACTCTACATGAAGAGAGTGTAGGGATACGTACGAGAAGTCGTTTAACACACGGCTCCATGGTGTAGAGGCCGAGGTGCAGGGGAGAGTGTGGCATCAGAACACACATAAATAACATGAAACGCACAGACACACACAAGCTGAGAACTACAAAGGATCAATGAAGCATTTGGAAGGCACAAAGAAAGAAAGAGAGTTAGTGGGCAGACAGAAAGCTCAGCAGATTCCTAGACCACTCACTGAAGCACGTGTCCGAGGGAAAGAGGAGTGACGAGAGAAAACAATAGATGTTCGAACAGAGGGCATGATAAATGAATGGACACCGCTGTCTCAGGTGTTTCTAAAGGAAGCCTGTTTGGGCTGTGAATCATAATTGAGTGTTGTGCTACAGATAGGGCTGAACAGTATATTGGAAATTATATACACAACATATTTGAGAGGATTTTGCTGGTAATATAAAGCTACACATTTTCAATTTTATTTGACTACTTAATTTTGTCAAATAAAAAGTTTGAGCGTGTCAGTAAACTAGTTTTGCAAAACCTTGTTAAAGTGGGTAGGTTTGATTCATTTGTCAGCATGTCAGCATCAACTATTTATTTTCAAACTGATTTGAAATATTTTTTTTGCCATCACCATTCAGAATATATTTATATATTTACAAAAAAATTTTTAAAATACATTACAATTCAATTTTTTTAACTTTTGATATTGTGAAATTAAATTACAATTTAAAATAAAGGTTTTTATTTTAATACATTTTACATTACGTAATACATAACGTGTCACGTAATCCTTCTTATGTGCTGAATTGATGTTCAAGAAACATTTATTTTTATTATCAATGATTCTTTGATGAATTGATCAAAAGTTCAAAAGAACACCATTTATTTGAAATAGAAATCCTTTGTAACATTGTCAAATGTCTTTACTGTCCCTTATGATCAGTGTATGCTTGCTGAAAAAAATTATAAATGTATTGCTATTCATTTATTTTATTGTATTATTTCTTATATTAACCAATTTAAAGCTAGTTTGCAACATTGATTGTATGTTCAAAATAATGTTTTTAAAAATTACATTTTAAAACATATCAAATATTGTCAAGAGGCTGACAAATATGGATATATTTTAGCTATATATTTTCAGCTATATCGCCCAGCCCTAGTTCCTGATAATATAAACACACAAATACTCACCCATTTTTGAAATGAATAACATGAGCCCTCTGAAGTCCTGTCTCTAGGAAGTAGCCAAGTTCCTGGTCTTGAGTGACCGGACCGGGCTTTGGACTTCGGTTCTGAATGCCAACACTAAGAGCCTGAAGACAAGACATAAGTCATCAAATATTACTGTCAATCATAACTGAAACAAGCTCAAACTCTTTCCTGGTCACTTACACTTAGTTATTCAGCAAATACAAACCATATGTCTTCAAAAGAAGCTTTATATTTACCCAGGGAACACTTTAGAGAGGACGGCGGTTAGGAGGGTACGAGTTTCTAGCATGAAGGTCATACGTAAACCTTCGGCTGCACCCAAAAAATGCAGTGTCAACACTGCAGCAGAACACAAGCTCTGCCGTTCTCCTCTCTTGCCATCATTCACTCTCTCTCTCTCTCTCTCTCTCCCCGACTCTCTCTACGCTCCCTCCCTTCCCCACCAACGCTAAATCACAAGCAGTAAATACTGAACACTATGCAGGGGAATGAATCTGTGCGCCACTATTCCAACAAAGGGAATTAGTGGTGTGAAAACAATCTGAAGGAAACTGAGACTAATTTTACTCTGCAAGAAAATTAACTTTGACCTGTAAAAAGCTTTAATTGTGATTTAAAGTTCACAGGTGGGACAAGAAGAGATTAGTGTCACGGATGGCGGACCCTCTGCTGCAGTACTGTACAAATCTCTCCTAGGCTACAAAATTACTGTATGTTTTAATGTCTATGAGAACTTGACTAAAATATTTTGAAAACGGAGGAAGAAAAAAAAACAGTAGTGAATGAATATTTGGAAATACCTTTTCTACCTCTTGAAGATAGAGAAGAGCGATGTCTCCAGACTTCTCATAACAAGTGATGATCTCCTGGTCTCTGTCTGCATTACGATTGGACAGTGATGGGGACGCCATGGGCACTTTCTCCAGACAAAGACCTTCGAACAAACAGCAGAGACATGAGATGACTTTCACATGCCAAGAGCTAGAAAGGCACACAGAGCTATCCTAGTGCTCTGCCACATTCAGAAGGATGTTTATGACTAATGACAGCTCATTTAAATAAAGATAATCTGAAGTGTGACTTAACGACTTAACTTGTTTCCTTTTAGAGCCATGTGATATAGCAGTACAATAAAATAATCATTTTTAAGTATTGTTAGGAATTAAGTAAATTATTAAATAATATATATAGGTTTTTTAAATATATATATATATATTTTTTTTTACACATTTACCAAATTCAACATAGTTATGGAGAACTAGGAAGGCCACATAAAGTAAAATGAAGAAATTAATTAGCAATTTATTAATTCAAAAATAAAAATGTTCTAATGTTCAGTGTTCTAATCAGGTGAGCATGAAAAATAAAATAAAAAAGCGTTAAAAAAAGTTTTTAATATTTAAAAAAATAAATCAATAATACAATTATAAAATATAATTATTTTATATGCACGTCATCCAAATAAACTACAGAACCTCAAGAAATAAAAATTACATTAATCACAAATTACTGACATTTGAATTACTGAATCGACTGACAGCACTTACTGTACATCTCATAAGTCACCCAAGGTTGTTTATTTGTTGTTTGAGGTATTGATTTAGTATTGATTAGATTTAGTATGCAAGTACCACGGGCTGGTCTCATACCAAAGTCAAAATTCTGCCATCAATCAAACTATATTTCTTTCAAAATCATAGTTACATTCATTTTCTACTGAGCCACAGTATTCACTTATGTGAAGCTTAGTGATGTAGCACTAAAAAAAACAACAGCAAAGCTTGAATTTCAGAAACACACAGCACTTCTGTCAATTCTAATTCAATCGACTAATGAAATACACTGTTATGGTTTCATCCTTACTTTGAGGATATTATATTCATTCTTAAAGGGTCAGACTGAACTCGATATGCTTTGTTCATATAATTCGAGTTTGTTTCCTTTGTTCTGGCTGAAAAGAGGAAGTGAGACACTGAAATATACATGTTTGAGAAAATCAAAGACCTCAGACAAACCAGAAAAACTTTAAATGTTTTAGCACGAGCTGATGTCTGTTCCACTGCTGTATCTCCTTGACTCGTCTAAGTAATGCGTTAAAGATACAAGTGCGTTTCCTTAGTCTTGTCACACAATCTGTGGCCAATCTCGGTCTACTGGTTTCAGCTTCTGAAGTCACATCTTAAATCCCTCATAGCATGAGGAAAACAGCCAAGACTCTGCGCTCAGGTGGCTGGTAAACATGATGAGAGTTGTTTGTTTGACTTGTGTTAGTATTGGGTTCTCCATGCAGATAAAGTTTCATGACAGTATGGCAATGTGACAGGAAACAGAAACTGTAGCCCTCCTAACTATTTTTCAAACTGATTCAATAATAGATAACGGCTTATAAACAGATATCACAGGATGAAGAAAACTGTCTGGTACCAACCAAGTCACAAAATGATTCCGAAATTAAAACGGAGAGGAATAATCCATCACGAGTAAGAAGGTAATGACGAGGCCCTGATTAAAAATGCACTGTGAAGTCCCTGTAAGACAGGAGGAGAATAAGAGTTGACTGATTGGCATGAAATATTAGTGAATGGTTTTAAGTCACCTTCACTATTTAAAAGTTTGGGGTCAGTGAGACTTTTTTTTTTTTAATAATTAATTCTATTCAGCAAGGATGCATCAAATTGATCAAAAGTGACAGCAAAAACGTTCACGTTACAAAAGAAATCATGGTTTCTACAAAAATATTAAGCAGCACAACTGTTTTCACTATTGATAATAATAAGAAATGTTTCTTGAGCACCAAATCAGCATATTAGAATGATTTCTGAAGCATCATGTGACACTGAAGACTGAAGTAATAATGCTGAAAATTCAGCTTTACCTTCGCAGGAATAAATTACATTTTAAAATAAAATAAAATATAAACACTATTTTAAATTATTATTATTTTTACAATATTACTGTTTTACTGTATACTTCTCACAAATGCCCAACTTGTAATTGGTAGTGTATGTACAATTAAATAATGACAGAATTATTTTTAGCAGGTATATACATTTAAAACGTACAGTTTTACTCTTTTGAGAAAAAATAATAATTGTCCGATAAAATGCTCTAAAAATGATTATGTCCCTCTCCCTTAGCATATAACAAATTGTGGTCAAAGGCTGTGATGCAAACTAAATAAATACATTTATAGCAACTAATTCTAAATTAATCTAACATAACATTTAAAAGTGGTTTTCAGCGGTTGCTATGGAACGATATTCCGGACAATTTTCAAATAGAATAGCAAATTGTATTTTCAATTGCGTTTTCAATATGTGGACGCAGTGTTTCTCAACCAGTGGAGCCTCAGCAAACTTCCAAAGGGGGTTTAAAATAAAAATAAACTTTAAATATCCAAGGCATTCAAAAAAGTTAAAACAACTACAAATATATTTCATAAATTAATTGAACCCCCTTAACAACTGTTTGTTTCTTGTGAAAAAAACAGGGTTCCCATTGGCTTGAAATACCTGGATATATATGTAGCCTTATTTTATAAGTGTGATTTATAGACCAGGAAAAGTAGAGTAAATTAATAAAGCCTTAAACTGCCACAGGCATTTTACAATGAATATACATGTTACTAGTTATGCCAGGCTCCAGAATATTTTATAGTGTAGAAATGATGAGTAAAAAAATAAAACTTCAGAAAACCTTAGAGAAACTAGAAGTGGCCATAGATTAAAATAAGTTCTGAAAACAAAACTAGAGCTATGAACAATGGGGAGCCTTGGAGTTAAAAGAGTTGAGATTCACAGTCATATGGGTACAGAAATTACACACTCTAGCTTTAAAGAAAAGTCAAATTTTATGACAAAGGAAAGCAAAGGGATTTTGTTGTTCCACACCGATGCCCAAAGAGAAAAAGGGAAAAAAACAGAATGAGAGAGAGAGGGAGAGAGTGTGTCTACATGCTGTAAATCCCTTTACCTATTATAGACCTGCAACACTGGAGGCCTGAACTTAGTCTAGAAGGTCTGAAAAAGGCACATTCACTTCTGTTCAGATACACATTCAACAGAAATCTGTTCCTCTCGACCACTGTGCTTCTCCAAACACACATATCCCTCTCCTTACAGGTTTAAAAGCCCGTTATACTAGGCAGATCCAAGACAAGCCCCATTACAGTGACCAGGCTCTTTAATGACCTGCATAACGGCCACAGTAAATCTGACGCCTCAGGACAGGCTGTGACGAGCAGCTCACGGCGGCAAGAAGGAGATTGAGGACGAGGAATTAATATACACAGGAGACGAGGCAGGAAGTGCTAGTGAGATGATACACACACACGTGTGTTTGTGCGCGGTAGCTGGGGTGTGATGGATGATTGGGGCCGAGGGAGGAAGCTGCCCCCCTGTAAAGGCAGTTGTCAGTCTCAGAGATGCTTTGAGGTGATTGGATGAGACAGGCTCTGTGCCACCCTGCAGTTTTTCCCCAGAGCCCCACAGTAACGCGATCTGTCAGAACTCTGATCAAAGACCTCACGCTGCGGTCCCGGCAAACACATTCACTGTGCTTAGAATTAAAAGTGTGTGCGTGTGTGTTCAGAGCAAAGGATTTAGTTGCAAACACTTTTCTCTGCAGAGCATCACATGTAGTATTAAAGCAAGGCTGCCACCCAAAGGTCAAAATGTGAACCGTAGGAAACCGTGAAGCATCTCTGCACTGTTCTGACGAGGTGAGCATAAAAAAAAACAAGCTAAAAATGAATTAAAATTACATTACAATTAATTAAAAAAATAAAAATGCCTCTTTTTAAATTTTAAATGAAACAATATATTTTGTAATTATATAACTGTTAATATAATTAAATTTACACTACCAATATAAATGTGGGGTTGGTGAGATTTTAAAATGTTTTTAAAAGAACTCTCTTATGCTCACCTGCATTTACTTGATCAAATACAGTAAAAAACAATGTTGTAAAATATTATTACAATTTAAAATAAACTACTTTCTATTTTAATATACAGTGGGTACGGAAAGTATTCAGACCCCGTTACATTTTTCACTCTTTGTTATATTGCAGTCATTTGCTAAAATCATTTAAGTAAATTTTTTTCCTCATTAATGTACACACAGCACCCCATATTGACAGAAAAACACAGAATTGTTGACATTTTTGCAGATTTATTAAAAAAGAAAAACTGAAATATCACATGGTCCTAAGTATTCAGACCCTTTGCTGTGACACTCATATATTTAACTCAGGTGCTGTCCATTTCTTCTGATCATCCTGGAGATGGTTCTACACCTTAAATGTAATTTATTCCTAACAAAGCTGAATTTTCAGCAGTAATTACTCCAGTCATCAGTGTCACATCCTTCAGAAATCATTCTATAATCATTCAATATGATTTAGTACTCAAGAATCACTTACTATTATTGAAAACTGTTGTGAGACATTGTTAAAAAAAATTCAGTATTCTTTGATGAATAGAAAATTTAAAAACTAGAGATCTTTTTAACATTATAAATGTTTTTAGTGTCACTTCATTAATTTAATGTATCATCGCTAAGTAAGAGTATTCATTTCAGTAAGAGTACATTAACAGTAACGTAATATATAGAATTTACATAGAATTTATACTGTATTTATAGTGAAATGGCACTAAAAAAACACTTTACATTGCTGTATATTGAATATTAAATATCCTACTGCTGTGATTTTGTTGCTTTGCGCAGCATTTTGCTTTCAGCAAGGACACAAATATGGACTTGATTGCAGAAACTTGATGTTTCGGTTCTAGTTAGGCAAAACGTCCTTACCAAAGCAAGTTACATAATTTAGGTCTGTTTCACAGCGCATACATAAGCAGTGAAACGGCATCAGCAGGCTCGGGTTTGTGCTTTCACAAAGACAGCATTTCTGCTATGTAACAGCCCAGCAGCTCTATTTTCTGAGTTATGACACAGATTATATACCTTTGGTGGCGTAGGCCTCAGCAATCATGGAGAGTCTGTACACTGGAGCCCCTACCAGCTGCATCTCATCCAGATTTACACGGCTGTACTGATTCAGTGCTTCCCTGTAATCAACCTCCACGTAGCACAGCTTAGCCATGATCAGACTGGCCTCCTGCATGTATTCAGGCTGGGAGAGAAAGAGAAAATACATACCGCCACAATATAGTATACTGTAGTAAATCAAATATAGCTTCACAATCACCTCACATTCTCAGAAACAGAACTGCAATAAATTAAATACATTGCTAAAATCCAGATAAACACCAATGACACTGGAAAGGCTCCAACCATGATTGGTTTTAAGTAGGGCTGCACGATTATGAAAAAATCATAATTGTCGATTATTCCCTTGAAATTGTAATTGCGATTATTAATTACGATTATCACAATTTACATTGAATGATGTTTATACCATTGTTTGATGCAACTGCATGCTGTATTTTTATATGAAAATTAACAAGCTGAAAACACTCTAACTGAAAAACCTTTAGTGCTTTTCTATAGTATTAAGCCTCAAATGTCAAATATACATCGGATTGGTTTCTTCTTTAAATGATAAAAAAGTAAAAATATGAATGGTATTATAATGTTATACTAAAACTAAAATTTAAATAATGGGAAAAACCCTTAAGATAACAGGTAGAAAGAAAAAACGCATCTTAAGCGTGCAGAATAACATAAGTGGACTTTGAACGATTACGTAATTGTGGCATCCATAATTGTAATCGCGATTAGAAATTGGATTAATTGTGCAGCCCTAGTTTTAAGTCAGTTTGAGATTTACTTAGCACTGAATTAATCCATGATCATAATCTTTTTATTCTACTACTAATCTGGTTGTCGTTGACTCCCAAAACTTGGTATTGCTAATATTGTTGGATGTGATGAATTGCTTTTGGTTTTTCTCATTTAAAAAATCTTTAAATAAAAGTCTGATAAATGATTGCATTTAAATCTTGAAATGTTGAGATATTATTCCAGACATAGGGGCCGTTTTCACAGAATGTGTTTTCATATTCCTTTGTGCTGCTTTTCCATTGTTGTAAACATACGTGTTCAGCTCATTTCGATGTAATTAAAATAATAATTTTAATTCTTTTAATATATTGAGTTTTTATTTTTTGTATCTTGCTTTTCATTTTATTTAAGGTTTTAATAATAAATGCTGTGTTTTACTAGTTATTATGTTATTATACTTTTATTAGTTATCATATTATTTTATTAGTTATTATATTATTATTTATTACTTATAGTTTTATTAGTTTTGTTGTGTCCATTTTATTAGTTATTGTTTTTTTATATGTATATATCATTTTGTATTCATTTTATTTCAGATTTAGTTTTGGTTATTTTGGTACATAATGTTAAACTAAACGAAAACGAGAAATGTTATTTTGGCAACTAGCTAAAATATATTTAATATTTGACTTTATTTCAGTTAACGATTATTTTATTTCAAGACATTTTTTAAATGGTTTGAGTTTTAATTTGAGTTCACTGTAACACTGATGCAAGTGTAACAAACAGAAGTGATGATCCTGACTGTTCAGGCTTACCTTTAAGTTTCCCCGATCAAGTGCAGCCGTCAAGTGTTTCCGTACCTCCTGGAGGCGTGGTCGGGGGCCGCGGGGACTGGCTCCCTGCTTGATGGGGTTTTCCTTGAGGTACTGCTGGAGTTTGGCCTCCCCCAGCAGAAGCTCTCCGAGATCATCTACAAGAGAAGCAGAGGTTGAGCTAGGCACCTGAATTTACTCAAGTAATCACACACACAGACAGAAAGCAAGGAGTTAACAACTCATACACTAGGACGATTTCATCATAATGACAGTCAGCAAGCTCATGCACACACATTCATAAATGTACCACTGCAAACGATGGCAAAATTGTTATTATTGGGTGAACTATCCCTTTCATCTTTCTCTTCTGTCTGAAAAAGTAACAGTGGAGAGAAGCCACCTGCATATCTGAACTGTAAAGCCAAAACACAAACACATTTACAGTGCAAGAGAGAAGTGCTGACTGTAAAAACAGCATTACATAAAGCCCAGATATAATCCAGTCTTGCACCTGAAACCATTCTTACAGGTCTTAACACACACACACAGCTTTGAGAACAACCACGTGTGGTGGTTTAATCTGCTGCCTTACATGCACATCGTAAATCTTTCATCATTTTGTATGAGACGAATCAATAATGCTTATTAATATGTAGCTTTTAATGAACAGGGCAAAATGTAAAGATGGAAACGGGCAATTTAATCCACATTAAACCAACCTTTAGGACAGGCTCCTATAATTCATAAATTTGACCCCAGTCAAATAATACATCTTCCAGACGTTCACGAATGATACTGATGTCAAATGTTCCTTTTGTGAAATTGTATTACTTAAAATATTTGTATTTAAATAATGAAAATAAAAATAATAATGACCTACATATTATTACAATACATGTTATTCATTAATAAATAATTATAATAATATTTATTATTATCATTTACAGATTTTATATTTTATTTTATTTATATTTTATATTTTACTATAAATGATCCTTTCTTTTAATTTTTACTTAAAAAAATTACCCATTGCAAATAAATATATTTCTGTGTAAATTTGACAAATGATATTATTATTATATTCTTATTTTTTACTTTTATTTTTTGAAAGAAATGATTTTGAAATCCGTCAATAAAAAAAGCATTCAAAACATTTGAAATTTCCTCTAATTTTAACTGATATACAAACATAATATAATAAAACATGTATTACTTTGCAGTTTTCTTTATCTGTGTGAAGTTCATTTGAATGAAATGTTTCAGTTCGAATATGCATTTAACTGCACCTAATGTAAAAGAGATTCCTATATTTTGACATCTTCACAAAACAATAAGTCAATAATAACTCTTACAAATTTCCTAGACTTAATGCAAATATGAATTATAGACATTATGAAGATGAATGGAGACAACTGTATGGGCAATCAGGAAGTGTACAGGACAGACGAGCAGAATACCACCAAAGAGGCATTAATATCACATTTTAGACAACCTGAAAAGAAAGTCTTCATTCAATGACTTGTTTAATGTGTAGTTAAATGTACAGAGATACATCAGATTCGGATTTTGCCACCAGGCCTGAGACACACACACTGTCCGAGCTAACGCGTTAGCCATGAGTGTACATTACAGAAACCACACACACCGTTTGAGATGAGTTTCGCAGACATCTGCCGCACGAGTTCTGCTATCTTGTCCCATTGTCCCTCTGATCGACAGCGTTCTATTTCAGTCTCTAACCGCGACCCGGACTTTCTGGCTGTCATCTTTCTACCTCCTGACCAAAACACGACCGGAGCCGCAGCACAGAAACATCAGAGACCTGGAGAGGAGCATCAAAACATGAACCGGACTTCGCTTCCGGGCCATGGTACTGAACTCTCATTGGACAGATTCTTGTCACGTGACAATTATTCTCACATGAAAAAAAGTTTATTTTAATTTAATTTGTTTTATTTATATTTCACTGTATATAATATCTTTCTGATTGGTCAATCATGACATACAGCAGTAAATATTTCTAAATAGACTATATAGAATAGAGGGACACCGGCAAAGGATAAGTATCGCTTTTTATTTCTCCTCTTTCCTACTATTTGTTTCACTTAGGTTTCAGTTTTTTTATAACCATTTCTTACTATGTGTCAGTAAGTTGTTGTTATTTTAGCATGTGTGTTTGGCTCAGTGTTATTTTTTTTAGGATTATGTATATGTAGGCTATATGTGTGTGGATGTAAGTTAGTTGTTTTTTGGTGTTTGGCTTAGTGTTATGTTAGAATTATTTTTTATACTCATGCCTTTTGTTCTTTTAATATTTTGAATTGTTTTTAGCTTTATTTTTTTGTTTTCATTTAAATGTTTAGTTTTGAAATGTTGTTGTATGCATTTGTCATTTTTATTTAATTTATTTAATTTTCTTAAATGTGTATATATATAATAGAGTTTTAGCTTTTAGTTTTAATTACTTTTTCTTATTTGTAAGTCGCTTTGGATAAAAGCATCTGCTAAATGACTAAAAGTAAAGTAAAGTAAAAGTAAATAATGACGTTCAATAATCGTGTACTGTCTCTCTGTACTCGCAACTAATAAGCCAATAATAAAAAAAAATCAACTTCAATTAACACATAATTTCATGCTTTGCAATCTGTTGTATAATATACAGTCAGATGCAGTCATTATTGCAAAATTAACACTTTTTTGAACAACCTTTATTTAACCCTTAAACCTCTTCAAATAACAAACATTATCATTGTTTTGTTGGCAATATCAAGCTGCACAGACCCATAATAAATCTAAGCAGCATACAATAAAAAAGAAAAACATAGGCTAAATAATTAGATAGATAGATAGATAGATAGATAGATAGATAGATAGATAGATAGACTGATAGATAGATAGATAGATAGATAGATAGATAGATAGATAGATAGATAGATAGATAGATAGATAGATAGATAGATAGATAGATCAGGGATTGAGTTCAGTGCTCATCTACATTCTGCAGTCTTTTCCTATCATATAATAAAATAATTACAACTAAGATCAGTATTTCATGTCTCCCATTTATTTGTTAACAAGCCAAGCAATAAGCAGAATAATGTGTAGTCTCTGTCGGATTCTATAACTACACAGCGAACTGAACAGCTCTATCCCTCTGGTAGTCCTGATTGAACGAAGTTGCCCTTCCAGATGTTTGTAGTTCATCAGTGAACAGAGCGCGTTGCACTGCAGCCTCCACTGCTGTAGGTGGCGCTGTCCTAATCGCACCGCTGAGATTCAACTGCAGTGCAGTGTGTCTGCGGCATGCTGGCCGTGGATTTGGATAGAAGATTGCGTAAGTAATTAAGGGCCTTAATCATTATTGTTGTAAGGAATGGACTGGTTTTCATCCTCATGCATTTACATTTATAAGTACATTTGGTTTTCGTCGTTGTAGTACGAACGGTATTGTTTATTACTCGCGTACAGCCAGCATGCAAGTCAATGATGTGCTGTACTAGAAAACATTCAAATGTGTTAATTAAAGTGTTTAGATATAAAGATGGACATATCGCTGTATGTGATATAATTATTTTACTTTGCTCTTCTCCATTTAAAATGTTGTTGATTTGATTTCAGTGCCATTTCCAGTCAAGATTGGTTAGGTTGGTTTGTTTAGACGTAAAAGAGTTCAGAAGCAAATCTATATCAGATACTTCAGCACTTTTTTAGCTGATTAAAGACACATGGATTGTTTACGAGTACATGATTATGATCTACTGTTCCTTATGAACTCAAACTCTAAATTCAAGGCTGAATAGTCTCAAAGAATGTACATTTACAGTACAGTCTTCTATTGCTTACATGAGTATGCCATTTTTATTGCAGTTAAAACTTTTTTTTTTTTTGCTTGATCTGTTATAATAATGATTTTTTCCCCCCTCATATCAACATGTTTATGTGTAAATTTGTATTATTCTGATTTCTGATGTGATATTTGTCTCTGACCTGCTTGGTGATTTCACAGAATCACTCTTGTAATCCACCACTGGCTGCAGGATGTTTTTGACTCTGGCTCTTTTGCGGAAGGGAATCCCAGGAAAGCAGTGGATCGGGAAGTACCGTCGACCGAGAGTAGTCACCTGGCAGATAAAACGCAATGTGATTAAACGCCTGGAACAGGAAGCAGAGAATGAATACTGGATCAGCCGACCGTTCATGACGAAGGAACAGGAGCAAGGCCACGCAGCACAGAGGCGGGAGTGGATGTGGCAACAAATCAAAGCTGCACGACAAGCCAAGTTTCCTGAACACAAATACATCGCAGACCAACTAAACCACCTGAAAATCACCAAGACCTGGCCCAGCTAACCAGAAGGCTGATGGATCTCAGTGTTTGGAGAGAGAAAGCAGATGAAAACATAGGACTTCTTGTGTTTGATTTGATATTTTCTGCATTGTGCATCTGTATGTGATATGTGCTGTGTTTATAAATTTAAAATGACTTGTGATCATCACAGTTGGCTCCTCTTCTTTCTTTTTTTTTTTGATTCGTTATGTAGTCTTAACTGTCTCAGCTAAATTATATTTTAACTATTTAAAAAAGAAAAATGTAACTATTTTAAAAAAGAAGAAAAAAGGTGAAGAATATGGTCACTCTTTTGATTATTCTTTTAATCAGATCTTTTCAGTAAATTGGATTTGCCTAAATGATTTATTACCAAATCAGAATTTTTAATTCCTTCATGAATGTGCCATATTACTCTGTATTACTAGATATTTCTAAATATTACAGTATTACTAAATATAACACTATTAATAAATAATGGCTGAGTTGAGTTGTACTGACAACCTTTATGATACTGTTTTATGACACTATTGCTTCCCTTTTGAAGAGTAAAAGCTCTAGTTAATTGAATTATTAGAATGATTTTACATTATACACAGTAATATATATTGGATATACCTATATACTGACCTGTTTAGATTACTATATTACTCTGTATTACTAGATATTTCTAAATATTACAGTATTACTAAATATAACACTATTAATAAATAATGGCTGAGTTGAGTTGTACTGACAACCTTTATGATATTTTTATGACACTATTGCTTCCCTTTTGAAGAGTAAAAGCTCTAGTTAATTGAATTATTAGAATGATTTTACATTATACACAGTAATATATATTGGATATACCTATATACTGACCTGTTTAGCACATATAATTACTCCCATGTGTACTCCCATATTTACTCGTATAATATAATATAATACTCCCATGCACTAGAGAGCAGTGTACACATCAAGATGGCAAAATATGTTCAAAACTTCAATTCCCACAAATCAGTGGGCGCGAGCGCCTTGGTCTCCATGACAGTCTTGTTATTGTTGTTCAGTAGATTATCATGGATGGATGAAGAAGTGGCTTCAGCTTTTTTCGCCACCAAACCTTTCCTAATAAATCAGTCGACGTTATGGTGGAATAATCAGATTTTCGTTTCATGTTCACGGACTCTTTACTCTCATCCACACAAGGTTTGACAGATCAGGTTCGGCCCAGCTCAGTGCTGGTTGCTACACATTTTCTCACAGCACAGCTGTGATCTGGTCCGTCTCTTAGTGAAGCATGAGAGAGCAGCGGTGGTGCAGCGGCCCGGTCCGGACACAGGAGGCTCGGAGTCGGATCACAGGCTTGATGGAGGAGATGCGCCTGTAACAGCTTCAGGAGGATGATTTCACGATACAGCCGCCGGCCTGTATCTAACAGCATAGAGATGTGCGTATAAATCACACAGACACGATCTCAAGCTGCCTACTTAGACAGCATTTTCGGTATCTTAGTTTTATAGGTAGCCAGCTCATAGGTTACCGTGGACTGGTGTTTAAGTATATCGGGTTTATTTGTTACTAAGTACAATGTGTAAACTGTCAAGCAATCCTTTACAAATCCTTGATTTTTTTCCAGATAGATAGAAATAGATAGATAGATAATCAGAACGATATTTGGTTTGATCCATAAATTGTCAGACAGATAAATAGTCAGATAGACAGATCTTTGATTTGATTCTTAGAAAGACAGGCCAATCAATTGACAGACAGACAGATAGATAGATAGATAGATAGATAGACACATAGATAGATAGATAGAAATAGTCAAATGATAGTCAGACAGATCGTTGTATGTATGTGTGTGTATATATATATATGTATGTAGATAGAAAGATCTTGGATGGATAGAAAGACAGATCTATAGATTGATTGATTGATCGATCATTATATAGATTTTAGAAGTTGCTCTGTCTTCATCCAATAAACGCTCTTCCTCTTTCTCTCTCTTTGCTGGTTTTGGTAGTCGTGGTTTGTCCCGCAGCTGTCTGGACCAGCATCCTCTTCCAGAAGAGGCAGATGATGATACTGTGCATCCGCCCAGACTCCTGCATGATCTTCAGGAGGACATGTCCTCATACAGCAGGTGAGTGCCAGGTACAATGTGTGTCTGTACAGGTATATATTAAAGGGGCAGGGTTTCATTACTGAGTATAATATGTGAATTCTTGCATAATATTTATTTTATAATATTCACTCTTTCCAATCTGACGTTTGAATTTATGAAATAATCACGCTCTCTCTCTTTCTAGGTCTGAGGAGTCCTCTGCATCATCCGTCAGATCAGGATGTCAGACACTCACCACAGATGACACAACTCAGTCTTGGTCTGGTATCCATAGTTACACGGGAACTGGCATCTCTACAGAGCACAGCTCTGTGTTCTCGTGGGGCTACGATGTGAGTGATGTCTTCTCGAATTCTAAGGGGCCGTTCACGCAAGATGCGTTCTTGTTTTTAGCTTTAC